TTTTTTTAATTGTTTTTTTTTTTTTTTTTTTTTTTTGGTTTTTTTTTTTTTTTTTTTTTTTTTTTTTTTTTTTTTTTTTATGTGGAGTTTATTTTGGGTTTTCTGCTTTGGATTCTCCTTTTGTCAAAAGGACACAACCTCAGTAAAACATTGAGATCTACAGCCAGTGGCATCACCTGAGAGAGGTCTGGTGGTGCTGTACCACTAAGATTTGGTCTTGTCATCAAAACACTCATTTTCTGTGTCATTTGTGCTATTCTACATTTCCCCTTTTAACCAGACAAAGCAGAAACATTTTCCCTCTCTTTCCCCCATCTATGCTGTTAGCAGGTAAGGAGTGACAAAAGGAAATGCCTGGGGGAATAAAGCAGAATTAATTATCTGCCTGAACATCAGGTTTACCACTGGTGCACAGTCTGAGGGTGTTGGAAGTTGGTTTTTTTGGGGGATGGATGAGCAGCAAAGCTCCCATCCAACAGCCAAGCTGGGGTGGTGGATCCCTGCAGGAAGCAAGAGGCTTTGATCCTTGTGTCCTTAAAGCTTTTTGAAATCGTGTCCCTGGTCAAGCCTCACCATAGCCCATCCCTGGGAATGTCCAAGGTCAGGTTGGATGTGACTTGGAGCAAGCTGGGACAGTGGAAGGTGCCCTGCACAAGGCAGGGGGTTGGAATGAGATGAACTTCAAGGTCCCTCCCAACCCAAACCATTCCATGATTCTGTGTTTAGAACATGGAAGCTGCTGGGATTGTTTGGGTTTGGAATGTGGGTATTTCCATCATCTGACACTTCACTGGGGTCATCTGTCCCACCTGGCACTCAGCTGTGTGCTCAGAAGTTTCCGTGGCAGGGGTGCAGCCCTGTCACAGCATCCCTCCATGAGCAGGAAGGTGGTGGGAGCTGCCAGAAGAATTAAGTGTGGCCCTGGGGAGATGTCAGTGCTCTCCTCAGGTGGAAGAGCTGTGTGCATGCCTGGTTTAGACAGTGTGGGTGAACCTGTCATGTCTTATTTGTCACCTTTTCAGGCGCTTGGGCTCATGTTACAACCTGTTCAACCTGTGGCTTTAACTCCCTTTTCAGGCACCAGGAGTGGAACCACATTTTGAATTATTCCCATGTCTTCATTCTGACCCTGTGCACAGCACTGTGCAGGGGGAGTGCCGATAGCTTTGTTTACTGAGTCCAGTAATGTTTACTCCTCCAGGACTGTTTAATTCCTCCTAAAATCTATAGTCAGGCTGCTAAGTCCTGATGAGAATGTCCCTCTTCAGATACATGATGTCCTCCATGTGCACTGGCCATTGGGTACAGGAGGGTTATCAAAAATGTCTTTACTCAAAGCTGGCAAACTTAAATGCAATTAGAGACCTTCCTCTAGGAGATCCCAGGACAATCAGTGTTCTCCAGCATGTTCTGTTCTTCTGATTCAGCTCTGTCCGTGTGTCCATCCTGTGCTGGCTTAGGTCAGGATCTCCTCACTTGCTCTCTGCGTGGTTTTCCCCATTTTTGTGAATCCTTTATCTCTGTGGCAGTGTTGCTCCCTGCAGTCATCCTAACCTTGCTCTGCTTCACTCATTTTACAAATGAGTTGTCCTTTTGTTTCCCACCCTCCTCGACCAAGGGAGGAGAGGTGTCCCTGTCCTAATTCTTGTCGGAGAAGCTCTTGAGCTTGGAGTGGCTCCAAACCACTGGGGCACTCTTGACTCCCTCATTTTTAGGAACAATGGCTTTTTCCTTTGTCCTGAGGATGAGAGCTCATCCCAGCATGTCCTTCTTCCTGGAAGGCCCACCAGGATGCTTCAGACCA